AATCGCTGTTTCTCGTCTTCTGTTTCTCCCACACTCCCCCTCTCTCTAAAAATAAATAAATTAAATCTTTAAAAAATACGAAGATTTATAAATGCAACACCTGGGCAGCGCGATAAAACAGGGTATACCTGTGCAGATAAAGAGACCTTATACGGATTTATCTGTAAATGGCTCTAACACCTACCTTCCTGTCTTCAGACATCCCCTGGCCAAAGGAGGATCTGCCTCGGTCTGTGTGAGCTGCGTTCACTGTCACTGCCCGTCTTCCCATTTGAAGGCTCAGAGATCACTTGCATGGAGACACACAGTGTCTTGCAGGGCAGAAGGCAAGACCTGAGTCCATCCTCTTCCCAAGCCCAGCCTCTCCCACTGCTGCTACTGGCATCTACCTGGATGCCATTCATTGGCACAGAAACACAAAACACCTGCAGGAGCTCGGCGCTCACCCGAAGACGGGACCCACAGAAGCCTCCTCATGGTACGAGGGGCAGGGTTCCCAGGTCCCACGGAACAGTGACAAAGGGACAGTCAGGATGAAGGCTCAAGGAGCCCCTGTGCTCCGCTTCCCACAGAGCAGGTGTCCCCTGGGAGATGCACAAGGAGAGAGGGGAGCCCCCTGGAGGGGTGAGAAGGGCAAATTATCCACGTGACACATCTGAATCGTCGCTAGTTTCCACCTCCCCGGCCACCCCAATGTGGGACTATATAGACAAAATTTTAAAAATCAAGAATAAACCATAGGAGATAAAATTAGAGATTTTGTTACACTGTTTATTTCACTGCAGGGGCTTAGTAGTAAATTTTAATACACTTCTGGGGTGTTCCACATCTTCCTTGGGTTGGATTTATTGTATAAAATTGCCAAAACTCATCCAATTAAACCTTAAGAAAGCAGACCAGGCTGAGGCCAGAGAAAGAGACCTAGAAAGCTTCCCCAGCCTCAACCTACATTTGGATTTCCAACTGTTAATAAAGAACAGGCCTGACCAGTGTGGCTCAGTTGGTTGGGCTTTGTCCCTCAAAGCAAAAGGTCGTCAGTTCAATTCCCGGTCAGGGAACATGCTCGGGTTGCAGGTTCAGTCCCTTGTCGGGGCATATTTGAGAGGCAACGGATTGATGTTTCTCTCTCACATCAACGTTCCTCTCCCTCTCTTTCTCCCTCCCTTCCCCACTCTCTAAAAATAAATAAAGTCTTTTTTTTTTTTTTTTAAGAAAATAAAGAACAGCAGCAAGGAGATTCACACACGAGATATTCTGAAAAGGGTGCAAAAGTCCTAGCTTAAAAATAAACATTTCTATGCATTCATGACCAATATACAGCGGGCCAAACGCGGCCACCCTCTCCGGGCCATCCCAGCACTCAGCCGTCCGCGTTGCGTCCCCCCCATGTCATCAGCTTCCTCTGGGAAGAGTCCCCAGAGAGTGTGTCCTGACACCCGCCGCGGTTTCCACAACAGTGTCTGCCCTTCGGGGGAGCCGGTCAGGGAGGCAGGACTTAACCACTGTCGGAGGGGCCACAGGCCCCTGGCCCCAACCTCCCTGAACCCCCATCTCTGAGAACAGGTCCTTTGCTGCTAAGCCACAGCCTGCACCCCCAACCTGCTGACCTCGGGGATGAGGGTGGGCAGAGGGTTACAGAGCACAACACACACACACACACACACACACACACACACACACACACTGCCCAGCAGGAGAGATGTCACGGGGGAGAGTCTTGGGGGACATGGGCAAGCTCGTGCCCAACAGGACACAATTCACAAGCTTTGCCACTGATTTCCAATAATGGGAGAAAGGAAGAATTATTCAATAACCACGATGGGGAAATGGCCCCTTTTGGCAAAATATGAGGCCTCCCTTATATCAAACAGCACAAGAAATTCTAGCTGCCGTCATTGTTAGAAATGAAACAAGCAAGCTCAAAGAAAATACTAAAGGAGATTTAGACGGCGCTGGGATTTTTAAAAAGATACACTACAAAAGCAACAGGGGAAACCAAAAAGAAAAGCTCAGTATAATTAGTGATATATACATTTTAAAACCTCTGAACTAATTTAAGGGACAAATGAAAATCCGGAAAAATATTATAAGCCCTAGGACAAGTTATTTCGTAAGTGTCTCATAGGGGAAAAAAAAAATCCGTTAATAATTGAAAGAAATATAAATGGTCAACAGACACAAAAAAGTTCCATCACAAAAATTCAAATAAATTCAAATTAAAACACATTATTTTTAACCTTTGTACTTACAAAAAAATTTAATTCAGGTGCAAGCTGACAATGAAGTCAGCACATGAACCTCTGTTAAGAGGGGAAATTGGCCATATCCTATTGGAAAACAATTTGGACTTTCACTAGTTACTCTATTTCTAAGAATACAGAAAAAGGAAAGGCAACAAAAATATATAGACATGCATATACATTACATCATAATACATAGAAACAAACTGTTTTCAACAAAAGTGAAACTGTAAAACGGCAATCCTTAAATAGCATGTTTTGAAGATTATTTCATGCCGCATAAAGAAATGTTAACCATAGGAAATCAAGGGATCAGGATAGAAACTAGTTTCATAGAAAAAAAAAAAAAATGTGTGTGTACGCACAGGTGCACCTAAGACACCACTCCAGCATCAGCAGGTGTACTTGTGTCATAGAAACAAACCATCCTTACTCCCTTCTGCTCTGTCTGTAGTTTTCAGTTTCTTCCAGAAACAGAACAAAATATATACTCTTTTCAAAAATCCTCAACAGTTACCAAACAGCCAATAATGTACTACTCCTGTTAGACCCTCAAGTTCAAAATGTGCTGTGAAAACACCAAGACCCTAGTGAGCTAGTCACGGGCATCTTCCAGATTAAGTAGCTACCAGTTCATAAGCTTAGAAAGCAGATGAAATTTGAGAAGTTGAAGGCTCAGTCATTCTGTACAAGGTGGGCCTTGTTTCCTGGCGGCACTTCCTCCTGGCTGAGCTCATTTCCACTCTCCTGCCTGCAGCCAGAGAGGCACACGAGAAAACCACCCAGGTGTCCCAGACTTAAAAATCACTCAAACTGCAGGAGGTAAATACATACAGGATGGCAACTGTGGCCAGCCACTGACTTCACAAAGACTGGTCCCTTCTTTAAAACTGGAACACTGGAATGCCAGTGGGAGGAGTGGCTTACACTGCCAGCCAGTCTCAACTCTGTCAGAATCACCTGCCACACTGATTCAAACCACCCCCCGCCCCCCCTTCTCTAATTTTACAAAACTGATGTGGAATGGGTGGTGAACCTGCATTTCTAACAAGCTCCCTGATGACCTGTACCTGCCACACTTTGAGAACAGCTGCCCTAAGGCATGATAACAGGTGTTTCCTGTGGAGGATCTCCAACAGCGAGAGCTTTAGGAAACGCGCCAGCGGACAAGAACACAGGTGCGTTTAGAATAGCCTTCCCCATGCATTTAGGAACAGGCGTCCCAACAGAAGCAGCTCAGAACCAGGCAGCCTGGGTAGCTGCCTGTCTGGGCTTCAGTGCCTTCAGGAGTAAAACAGAGATAACACAGTTGCTCCTTCCCCTCCAGCCGGAAACCGTCCACGGAAGCCTACTCAAGTCATCCCTGAGAAGTCCTCGCCTCCCCACTGCCATGTACAAACGGTTCCAAAATCCACAAGTAGCCAGTGCTTCCAGAGTTCCTTGCCCTGCCTAAAGTTAAAAAGATGTTTGCCTACTTCATTGTAACTTATGGTAACCGCAGTCATATTCCTTGTTCTTCCCGCCTTTCATTGAGAGGAGGGCCACCAAAGAGCCAAGCGCTGTTCCCACAATGAATACACCACAACCAAAACAAGGGCAGAAGCACTCATCCCTTTGGAATGCCTTAGGTTTTCCCATTAACAATACACGAAAAAAGGAGGGGGGGGGTAATATCAGAATAGGTGGGAAAGATGAGAAGAGTGTTACAGTGGAGAAGCAAAAGATCTACCAACCAACCCAGTGTGATTAAAATCCCAAGGTTCACTCCCACCTGATTAGAAGTCCCAGGTGCTAGATGGAAAACTTAGCAGCTTCACTTCTGTGGGCTGTTTTTCACCCGTGTTTCCTCCCAGTTCAGGGACCCCTCAGTGATTTTAGAACCCTGGGCACGACCGCCCGCATCAAGATCCTGGACTGCTTCCCTAAGAGCTGGAGCCCCCTCCCTGACCTATACCCAAGCGTAGACCTCAAAAGTGGAAGTGGAAATATTCGCAGTAGGAAAACGGCTGGTCAACGTACTCCAGTCACGGCTGTGTGTGTCCCAGGCATAAGCAAACCGTGTTCAAGTGTTCCCATTCATCACATAAATAAGAGTGGTTTCTTACCCACGTGAAATTGGCCACAGCTAGCGACCAGGACTTGCGGTGACAAAGAGGAAGGAAGAGTGAGAGGGAGCGTGAGGCACAGAGATAGGATCGCGGACACACAGGGAACCCGGCAGACTTGCAACTAGGCTGTCACACAGGGAATGGAGGAAGAGGTGGGGACACTACTGGATCTTGGGCACCAGTTAGGCTTTGTCTAAAATTAGGTAAAAACAAGCTGTTCATAAGCTTCTTGCTTAGAAAGAAAAGGGCGCGGCTTTAGCGCAAAATCGCGAATCCCTGAGCGGTAAGAGGGAAACCGACTAAAGGTGGCGAGGGGGGAGATCCACTCCGTTCTCCCACTGGGCAACCTCCGTTCTCCTCTTCCCGGGCCCTGGAGGCTGGCGGGGCCGCGAGCAGCAAGGCAGGGAGCCGCTGCGCCGCCGCCGCCGCCAGGTCCCCGGATCGCCCTCCGCGCCCTGCTCCCACCCACCCCACGCGCCCGGGCGCAGTTGGGGACCACGCGGCCGGCGTGGGACGGCCCCTCCTGCAGCCAGAAGAATGGGCAGCACGCGCTGCCGCTCCCAGACTGAGTCTCCCACGCCCGAAGAGACCGGCAGCATCAGGCACGCGCCGAGCAGCGGCGGGGGGTCGCAGCTCGGGCCGGGGCGCTCACCAGAAAAACACGCGCGAGCAGAGGTTCGCGCCCTGCAGCGGATTGGGCTTTTTCGCCTCCGGGTACACCGGCAACATCTTGCCAGCCGGGCGGCCGAGAGCTGGGGTGGCGCTGCTACTGGCGGCGCGGACGCGGATGCTGCAGCTCCGGCAGCCACGCCGGTCCGCTCGACTGGAGCCGAAGAACCACCCGCTTCCGGACTCGCAGGGCTGGCGGCCCGCCCCGTCCCCGCCCCCACCTCCCGGGCCGAGCCGCCTCGGGGAGGCCCGCTGCGCGGCGCCGCCGGTCCTTGCCGCCGCCGCTCTTGTCGCCGCTGCCCCCGCCTGAAGCCGGGAATCGGGAGACGCGAGGCGCCCGGGTCCGCGGGAGGAGTGGGGTGGCTGGGCTGACGCTGCCGCCAGCCGGGCGTAGGTGCACACGAGGCCCGGCGCCGAGGCCCCCACGTGCTCACAGTTGGCCGCGCACTTGACCTAAGCTCGCACAACGAGCCGAGGCACGGACCCAACAATGGAGAGGGGGAGGTGCCGGCTCTGCGTGCCCTTCCAACCCAGAAACGCCCCCTCGCCTGCGACTTTCCGAAGCTGCGAGACGCCCGAGCCAGCGCCTTCTGGGCTCGCTGCCCTTATCAGGACCAAACAAGAGTGCCCTGGGAGGGCCTCCAACCTGAGGGAGAACATTTGACCTCGACAGCAGCGGGGTTTAGCACAGATTATCTTTGTAGAGCCACAACACCTAAAGAAAGCTAACGGAAGATTAGAAGAACTCAAGAATTTGGAAGATGGAAAGCACACTGTCTTAGGGGTGGGAGGAGGGCAGGGTTTTGGCATCTGACATGTTGCATTATACAGGGACCACTCTGAGCTCTCTGCTACCCTCACAGATCGGGAAAGAAATATGGAGAAAGAGAGAATGCCTTATGATTTCTTTCATCATGTTCTCAGAACCTAGCTGAGTAACAGTGGCACAGGGAACAGGTGTCTGAACGCACATTATGCGCATTTCTGGGGACCTTACCTCACTTTTAACGGTAATAACACCTGAGTCAAGAAGGTATTATCCCTGCTTTACAGATGAGAAAAGTGAGGCTCAAGGACAAGACTTCCCAGGGTCTTAGAGGCAGTAAGTGATGAAACCTGATTGAGACTCAACTCAGAGGAAAGCATGGCCTGTCTTAGTGATGGATGGTCAGCGTGCATGAAAGTGCCTGGCCCACACCACCAAGACACAGAGTTGAAGCAGCTCTACCTAATACATAGAAACAAACAGAGGGAGGCTGCCAAAATGAGGAGACGAAGAAACGTGGCCCAAATGAAAGAGCAGGTCGAAACTCCAGGAAAAGAACTAAACGAAATGGAAATAAGCCATCTCTATCAGATGCAGAGTTCAAAACACTGTTTATAAGGATACCCAAGGAACTTAGTGAGGACCTCAGCAGCATAAAAAGACCCGGTCAGAAACAAAGGGTACACTAATTAAAATACAGAAAAATTTACAGGGAAACAACAGTAGAATGGATAAAGCCAAGAATCAAATCAATGATCTGGAACATAAGGGAGCAAAAAACAATCACGCAGAACAAGAAGAAGAAAAAAGAATCCCAAAAAAATGAGGGTAGTATAAACAGCCTTTGGCATAACTTTAAGAGATCCAACATTCACCTCAAAGAGGTACCAGAAGGAAAAGAGAAAGAGCAAGAAATTGGAACTCTATCAGAAAAAAATAGTGAAAGAAAACTTCCGGAATTTGGTGAAGGAAATAGACACGAAGTCCAGGAAGCACAGAGAGTCCCAATTACGATGGATGCAAAAAGGCTCACCCCAAGACACATCATTATTAAAAGGCCAAAGGTTAAAGATAGAGACTCTTAAAAGCAGCGAGAGAAAAGTTAGTTACCGCAAGATTGCCAGATGGGAGCGGGGAGCAGGAGAATGGGTGAGAGGTGAGGGGACTAAGGAGTACAAACAGTATAGTTACAGGATAGCCGTGGGGGTGTAAAGTATGGCATAGGAGACAGAGCAGCCAAAGAACAGTCATGACCCATGGACATGAACGATGGTGGGGGCATTGCCTGAGGGAGTGGGGGTGCTGGGTGGGGGGGCAAAGGGGGAAAAATCAGGGCAAGTGTAGTAGCATAATCAATAAAATATAATTTAAAAAGGAAATAAAAAGAAAAGTGCCTAGAAGGCACTGGTTGAATGAATGGAGACCTGAATGAACAAAATCCTGGATTTGCACTCGTCAGCCTTCAGTTATTTTGTCCCCAGCAGTTTCTCATCTGTTGAACCATAAAAAAGAAAGAGCAAAGGATACAGGTTCATGGTGTTTACAAGATTACTTCATTATTCTCTGATAATTACCCATGTACCTCGGCTAGAATGGTGTTAATAATGGCTTTAAGTTTTTGTTATGCAAGGTGAATATGTTCTATGGAACTGGTTTACAGCAATGTGACTATAGTTCACAATATTGTGTATTTGAAGTTTCCTAAGAGAGTCAATGTTGAGTGTACTCAACATTAAAAAAGGGAAAATGGTTAAGACGTTAAGTGATGGATATATTGACTGGCTTGGTTGTGACTATTTCATAATGTAGATGTATAGTGAGTCATGAGGTTGTATATCTTAAATATATACAATGTTTAATTGTCAGTTATACCCCGATGAAGCTGTTTAGAGGATATTCTTGAGCTGGAATATGGAAGCCAAGGAGCCAGCTTTGTGTACCTCTCAGAGCAATAAAACCACCACCATCAACAAACTCCTTGGCGTTGGATAAGATAACTTAGGGGGAAGGAGTAGGTTTCAAAAAGAAGGAGAGAGTACACTTCTTGGATTTTCTTAGTAAGCGAGGAAAGGACACAAGGCAAACCTCAGCCCCAAGGTTAGGAGAGAGGCAGCTGAACCCATAGAGTCCCAGCTTCCTGGACCACAGGCCACCAAAGGAGCCTGTGCTGGGGAGCGAAACTTGAACTGTAATTGATGAGCTGCTGGCAACTCAGTGTAGACAAGTCTCAGAATTAAAAACTCCCCGCGGGAACCAGTCATGGGGGGACACCACAATAGTGTGAGATTTAACTCCAGGAGCTCCATTAGGTTCCTATAGTAAATATCAGAGAAAAATTTCCTCAGGCTCCCTGCAGGAGGAGGGAAAAAGAAGTCATTAAGAAATATTGCAGGTTCTTGAATAATATTCCATTATAATGATGAGATGCTGTAGGGAAGGAACTGTTGCTTGTATCAATCAGCCTACAATAAAATTGGTTTCCCCATATGGCACGTTTTGCTTAAAGTTGAGAACCTATCCAATACATTAAGTGGGGACTTACCATATAGTTCTTCAACCAGACCTGCCCTCGGGAAACCAGTTAAGCAAAGCCTACCCTGTGGGAGTATTACCTGAGCCTGACTCACCTGGGGAAAGAAAATTCCCAGCCCCAGCTGGCTCTCACCATCTGTCCCACACATGGGAGTGAGAGAAGGAAGAATGAGAAATACTTAGGAAGTTCCCCGTCCAAAAGGGCTCACTAACAGATTGGGACCTAATCGTTGTATGACTATAGAACTGCCTTCCCTACGTCTCAACAACACATTACAGAACGCCCCTTTGCAGCAGTTCCTTCAATATAGCACATCGTGTCTGGATGTCAAGAAAAAAATTACAAAGCATATGAAAAGGCAAAAAAAAAACAAAAAAACACAACACCACAATTTGAAGAGACGGTGCAAAAGCATGTTGGGATTATCAGACCAGGAAGTTGAAACAACTATGATTCATAACCTAATGGCTCTTTTGGAGAGAGCAGACAGCATGCAAGAACAGCTGGGCAATGTAGCAGAGAGATGGAAATCCTAAGAAAGAACCAAAAAGAAATGCTGGAGACAAAAAGCGCTGCAACGCAAATGAAAATGCCATTGATGGGCTCATTAGTAGCCTGGGCAGGGGAAGGAATCTCTGAGCTTGAGGATCTACTGATAGAATCCGCAAAGAACAAAAGGTAGAGAACAGAGACTAAAAAAACAGAATATCCAAGGGCTGTGAGATAGCTACAAAAGCTACAACAGATGCATAAACAGAATGCCAGAAAGAGAAGAAAGAGAGACAGGAACAAGGAATATTTGAAACAGTAATGACAGCATTTTTCCAAACTAATGGCAAACACCAAATCATAGACCCAGGAAGCTCAGGAAGCTCAGAGGACACCAAGCAGAATAAATGCAAAAACAAAACCAAACCAAACCTACACCTAAGCATATCATTTTCAAACTACAGAAAAATACCTTGCCTATAGAGGAACAAAGATAAGAATAACATCTTGTTCTCCTCGGAAACCATGTAAGCAAGAAGAGAATGAAGTGAACAATTGGAAGTGTTGAGAGAAAGAAACCACAGGCCTAGAATTCTGTCCTTAGTGAAATAATCTTTCAACAGTGAAGGAGAAATAAAGACTTCCTCAGACAAACAAAAATTGAGGGAATTTGTAGCAAGCAGGCCTGCCTTGCAAAAAAAATTTAAAAAAATACTGCCTGGCAAAAAATGTAAAAGATGTTTCTTAGAGAGAAAGAAGACAATATAGGTCAGAAACTCAGGTCAACATAAAGTCAGGAAGAGCATCAAAGAAAAAGTGACAGGACAGTAGCTCAAGAGGAACAGATAAAATGTATGGCAAACCTTGAAGAAAGTCCTTTCGTGGGGGCGTGGTGATGAAAGCAAGAGAGAAATTGTGAGGACTTCTAGCAGAGAGAGTTATTTGGCTCTGCCTGCCTTTTCTGTTCCTTTACTTGCCTTCCATGACAACCACATGTTGCCTGTCCCCTCACCTGTGGGCTCAGCGTCAGCCAGTTTTAGGCTCGTGCAGTGACTCATGTTGTCCACACTGATGGCAAATACCTTCTTTTGACTTAACTGCAGGTGCCTTCTGCACCTAGCATTTGACTCTCCCCGAGCTCTGGTAATTAAGGATATTCCGTTTTACTGTCTGCATTGGGTTTCACTGGACGCTGCCTAGGGATGTTTTTTTACTACTGACCACAGTCTGTCAGACAGAGGAACCAAGATGAGTTGGTCGTTTTGCGTAAGAAGCAAGTAGGAAATTGCAGCTGACCTTTGGCCCAAAGGAAGTGTGACCCTTTTCAAATGAGCTACTCTGTAAGGATGACATGGGACATTTAATCCCATGTCATGTATCTATGCAAAGGTCAAAATTAAACTAGGTGGTACAGCCTGCTAGT